TGGTAGTGTTAGGGAGAAAACAAATGCAGTGTAAGAGCAACGGGTTAGTCTAGGGAAATTCTATAAGTAAGGTGGACAGTGTGGACCGTAATTAAAATAGCATTTTATAGAGAACTTATAAAATAGCATTTTATAAAGAAATAAGGACATGGCTGGAGATAGAAGGAATGGTCAGTATAAACACATGAAGTCAGAGGGGAACAGTAAAGGGTGAGAAGCTGGAGCAGAGTAAATTGGAGAAGAGGTCAAAGCGTTCTGGACAGGCCTTCAGGATATTATAAGGAGTTTGCCTTCTACTCTTGAGTAAAATGAGGAAGTAGAGTTTAGAACCAGGGAGCAATCTGAAAATATTTCTCTGACCTCAGTGCTGATGGTAGAGTATAAGTGGGGCAAGGTGCAAGAGAAAGGCCAGTTAGGAAGTTAATGCTCCTAACAATGGAGAAAACAGGTGTTGATGGTTTGAGTTGGGTAATGGAAATGGTGAGAAGAGGTGAGATTCTGTGTATGTTTTTTTTTGTTGTTGTTTTTTTTTCCCGTACGCGGGCCTCTCACTGTTGTGGCTTCTGCCGTTGTGGAGCACAGGCTCAGCGGCCATGGCTCACGGGCCCAGCCGCTCCACGGCATGTGGGATCTTCCCGGACCGGGGCACAAACCCGTGTCCCCTGCATCGGCAGGCGGACTCTCAACCACTGCCCGCCAGGGAAGCCCTCTGTGTATGTTTTAAAGATGAAATGAATCCAATTGCTTGCATGGGGGATTTGCTAGGAATAGTATGGTCACAACAGTTAAAAAGTCTTGGTGTTGGGCTTCCTTGGTGGCGCAGTGGTTGAGAATCTGCCTGCTAATGCAGGGGACACGGGTTCGAGCCCTGGTCTGGGAGGATCCCACATGCCGCGGAGCAACTAGGCCCGTGAGCCACAACTACTGAGCCTGCGCGTCTGGAGCCTGTGCTCCGCAAAAAGAGAGACCGCGATAGTGAGAGGCCTGCGCACCGCGATGAAGAGTGGCCTCCGCTTGCCACAGCTAGAGAAAGCCCTCGCACAGAAACGAAGACCCAACACAACAAAAATAAATTAATTAATTAATAAAGTCCTACCCCCAACATCTTCTTAAAAAAGAAAAAAAAAATGTCTTGGTGTTGAGCAAAACGTTGGAGTAAAAAAGGAAAGACTCGGCTCTCTCCTGCACCCTCAGCAAAAGTAACTAGATGCTTCTATCTTACACTATTTTCAACTTATAGGATGTCCAAGCAGGAGCCCTGTACCCCTCTCTGTGGGTGAAACCTGCACTCTTTCAGAGCAATGGGAAGGTCCAGCAGCCAGGTGCAAAAGGACACCAACAGTCTACTTTATTTCAAGCTTGGGAACAGAGGGCATTTCTAATAGATCTGTAGTAGATTTGTAGTAGATCTGGAGGGGCAGCATGGGAGTCAGGGAGGTTCCCTTTGCAGCCACCAGCAGCTGCAGCTTACTTAGTCCTGCAGCACTGCCCAGGGGTGCCCAACTATGTGCAAGGCCACTGGACAGGGAGCTGCAGCACAGGGTCAGCACTGCCAGCAGGGAGGGGGGTGCAGCTGGTGAAAGCATGGTGAAGCCATTATATATAGATACTTAGGTAGATGTGTTGATAAATGAACCCAAATATGTAGATATCCCTAAGTCTCAATTCTACACCTTAAGTTTATTTATTTTAGAGTATCCTAAACATCTAATTACTCATAGTTTATGTCTGGAACTCTTGCAGTTGTGTGACAGTATCTACTTAACATATACAGAGAAACCTCAGTCTAAGAGCATTACTTTATCATTATATAAACATTCTTTGATATTTCATTGAAAATAGAACCAATGAGAATTGATTAACTTAATCACCATTTCTAATGACCGAAGGTTTATAAATCATTTTATTTCCCTTATCTGAATATTTAAAACATAAAAAAGGGGCTTCCCTGGTGGTGCAGTGGTTGAGAGTCCACCTGCTGACACAGGGGATACGGGTTCGTGACCCGGGCCGGGAGGATCCCACATGCCACGGAACGGCTGGGCCTGTGAGCCATGGCCACTGAGCCTGCGTGTCCAGAGCCTGTGCTCCGCAACAGGAGAGGCCACAACAGGGAGAGGCCTGCATACCACAAAACAAACAAAGAAAAAAAAAAACATAAAAAAAGGATGGCAGAATAATTTCTTTTCACTGTACTTTAAAAAGTTAGTACAAGTTAGGTATTTTGTTACAAATTCTGAGAGTTTTGGTAATTATTTTGCCTTTTTCCCCCCCACATTGTCACTAATAGAATAATTATGTACATATATATAAATTATATATGATTTATTATTACATCTCTAGGATCTAGAATATTCTTTGATTTTTATAATAACTGCTCAAAATAATTGATAAATGAATACATGGATGCATAAATGAAAAGTCCATGGTTGTATGATAAAATCAACATGTTACTGAGTGACATTTTTCCCCACTCCACATATAATAGAAATTGTGGACATAGAATAATCTATATATTGGGCCTGCTTTTGTGAGAGTATAATGTAAGGGAAACTTACAGTCTGAGCAGGTCCTTATAGGTGTATTTTTAATTTCAGGATCTCCAAAAAATTAATTATATAACATATCACCATCATTATCAAAAAATATTAGGATATCTGATACCAAGGACTGTTTCAGTACTCTGAAAAATGATTTCTGTACAATATAGATTTTATATTGCCAAAGAAGCCTGCTAATCAATCTCTTTAAGGAGAATTTTTGGAAACCTGATTTGAATAATGCAAAAGCTCACTGATTCTTTAAATATCTAAAAGTTGGATGACAAAATAAACGATAGAGCAAGTTAATGCCAGTCTAAAATTATCTGTATGAGGATAATTAAAAATATTTAAATAAGAATTCCAATTACTGACATCTAATATTAATAAAAATAACTAATGCTGGAAAAATTTTAACTAATTTTTACTCAAATGAATATTATAGTTTTTTTTGTTGTTTGTTTGTTTTTTGCGGTACGCGGGCCTCTCGGTTGTGGCCTCTCCCGTTGCGGAGCACAGGCTCCGGATGCGCAGGCTCAGCGACCATGGCTCACGGACCCAGCCGCTTCGCGGCATGTGGGATCTTCCCGGACCGGGGTACGAACCCGTGTCCCCTGCATCGGCAGGCGGACTCTCAACCACTGTGCCACCAGGAAGCCCGAATGTTATAGCTTGAATCATAACTAATGTGAAATGCTCGTGAGATATACCTTCTTTTATCTTTTCCATTTGTTGATGATTTTATTTGAATAAATAAACCTTCTAGCATACTGAGGGTTTTCTCAATCTTTTGGGTGGGTGCATGGGTTCTTGGAATATACGAAGTTGACCAAGTTAGGTTTTACTGTGGTCTGATGTGTCAGCCTTGTAACGTGACTGTAATTTTAATTAGACCACATGAGTTGTTTTTCTTTCATGACTAGATTACTATGCAAACTTAAATGTCTGTGGTCAGAGGGATATGTGTCTTGCAGCCTGGAAGCTGGGAAACAAAAAGCATTCAAGAAGATTGAAATAATTAATTCTGCATTAAGGATATGTCAATATTGCCCTCTGACTCACTCCAAGAGCATACCATTTTCACTAATTGGAAAGTACACAAATCTTTGGTATTGTTTACGATAAACTCAGCAGGGAATGTGACTTCCTAGTGTAGGCCCAACAAAGTGCTCCATTTATGAATAAATCATGTTTGGATCTTGAGAAAAGAGGCATCAGTTAGTGGCAGTTGGCTTCCCTGAATATCAGGAACTCTGGATAATTAACTGCCAGTACTTTTTTATTCCTTTCTATTGAAACATTCATTGACAGAAAAACAGACTTTGTTACCAATATGCAATATGTAATGCATTTTGGGAAACATTACATAATTCCATTGCTGTATCTTAATGGAATATTCAGCATTATTACTGTCATTACTAGGCATTTCAAAGTCACCGTGGGAGGTAAGCCTATTTTCCATTAAAAGATTATTTCAATATGAAATCTGTCTGAACTATTATTGCCCATAAACCTGAATAGCACAAATGCCATACAAAAAAAGAAAACGTTTTATTCTTTCAGATATTATTTTAGTGAATAAAGACAAAATGAAATTACTGCATTGCTGGTGTTTGGGGATATTTAGCATAAGGCTGGTCATGTTTTACATTTGCTTATATGGTAAAGTTTTAGGTGATCTGTAAATGACTATCCCTCTTAATGTGAAGAGTTTTTCACATATCACAGCATAGCAAGACTCATTGGAAAAATAATTCTTCCCTAAATCATATTAATTTGGTTAGAGCTCTCAATAGTAATGATAATGATTTTACCTGTATTTTACCTGATTTTACCTGTTCTTACCTGTATTCAGTGGAATTTTGTACCAAGATATTTAGTCTGTGGAGAAACTTTTTCTCCCTAGAGAAAAAAGAAGCTAGAGACAAGGTAGTTGTAAAAACTGGTTTATTTTTTTTAAAAAATAAATACAAAAATATAAATATAAAACATTAGCAGATAGAATTTGATGAAATGAAATTGCACAAACGTTTGTATACCAGGTTGCATATCACACCTACTAACACCACATGTACATTTTTTTTTTAATTTAACATACAGAACAGGATATACCTTAAATTTTTTCTTCACCTTTAAGAAACGGAAGCGGCTTGTTTGTGAGGCTGCTTAAGGGAGAACTATCCTGTTCATGTTTCTGAAATTATCTTTTATTTCCTAAGAAGGACAACACTGAATTTCCATAGCTTTGGCTCTTGGAAGTGATTAAATAAAATGTCGTATATATTCCATGAGACATCCTACAGGGAAGAATTAATGTAATTAATGAACAAATTAAAAAGGAAATGGGAAAAAAAATTGTGCTGAGTGGCAGGAAAATTTTCCTGAATATCAAATATTATGAAGTGGAGACGGTGTCGGTAAAGTTACTTCCTCTTGCTTGAGCAGAACATATATCCTAGGTTAAGAGTCTTTGTCACTTTCCCCGCCACCGTACATTTCCGCCAGCTTATTAAACCGAGGCCCCCATTCTCGGAGGTAATCGTAGTTTTGGTCTCCGTCAGTGGTACCTGATTCTAAAGAACTCAGAGATTCCGCGATGGAATCGTTTCCTTCGTAGGCATACGTTGCAAGTGAGTCGTAGGGCGGTGCGGTGGGATCCAGATCGTGCTCTTTTAGCCTTTCATTAATGAAATCCCGGACATCCGTGTTATCCGGAGCTGTCGGAGTCCTCCGTGGGATAAATAAAGTTTCCGGAATAATATCTCGCCGCAGCTTTTTTTCCTCGATAGCTGCAGGATTCCTCAGGGTGCCGATATCAAAGGCCTGGGTGTCCTCCTCTCCGCCACCTTCATCGTTATAGCTCACAATGTTGTCTCTGATATCTTCTTTAGACAAGATCAGAGGCTCTTTTTTCCGCTGTCTTTTCAGAGCTGCAAACAGTACTACTATAACTTGAAAAAAGAAAAAAGATGCATTAGAGGTCCATCTGAAACACATATTAATAAATAACGAGTGGAAGTACTATAAACGAGTTTGTTATTTAGGTTTTCTGGAACTGGTTAGAATTTAGGGTTAATTTTGTATTTCCATAATTTTTTTTTTTGCAGGGCTTGTGGGGAGGGGGAGGCGTGAAAGGAGAGGGGAGTGTTGAAGGATTTAGCCAGGATGGTTAGAGTTTAAGAACAGTGGTTCTAATTTACTTTTAAAGCAATGTGAAAGGTTTTTTCAAATACAGTGACTTATTTTATCTATTTTTCTAAGAACTGTTTAAAGATAGTTCCTGATTGTACAGACGTTATTTATACTTTGCATTAAATAATGACATAAGATGTTGTTTAAAAAATAGACACAAATCAAATTCAGCTTCAAATAAAACAATGAAGAAGGGCAAAAATACGCCCATATTTTTACATCCTTATGCAATATTAAAAAGGCAGCTTTCTTCACAAGATATGGAGTATCCATATCTGTTAAATAGCTTTGCGGATGGACTTACATATTTTTTTTCCTTACATTGTTACTAGAAGGCCTTAATTACTGGGAAAAAAGATCACATTATTTAGACATTATTAGTTTAGAAATTTATGAGGTTTTCCATGGAAATATATATCACTCATGAGATCAAAAAAAAAATTGCTGGATCACATGATGGCAAAGAGTAAATTCAAATTACTACACTGAATTAACTACAAAAATTATGTATGAACTTCAGCTATATGTATCTTAATGAGTATAGATCCACAAGTAGAAATGTGTATCATTCAGACAGGACATTTCCCTACTTCCATGGGAAGGTATCAGTAATAATAATAATATGCTTATTATTTTAGTAATCATAATAATGGTAATAGCATAAAAGATAGGAGAAAGCTAAAATCATTTTCCCTCTGGTTGTATTAGTTTTCCACCCTCATTCTTTATCCCCAAACATTTTGGTCATAATCCTTTAAAAATGATGATTTAGAGAAACAGATGTGAATTCAGTTAGATGAGGAAAGGAAGGGAAAATATCTCACCAGGTATATGTATGAAGAAATATCTATATTTATTTAGCCTCATTAGAACAAACATTTAAAGGATATGGGATTTATTACTGGTCTTGACTGAATGTGTCCCCTAAAAATTCATATGCTAAAGCCTAAATAAATTCCCAATGTGATGGTGTGTGGAAGTGGAGTCTTGGGGAAGTAATTAGGTCATGGAGGTGGAAGCCTCATGAATGGGATTAGTGCTCTCTTGACATGACACAGGAGAGAGGATTGCTTTCTGCCCCTTGAGGATACAAGAGAAGACAGCCGTCTGTGAAATAGGAAGTATGCCCTTGCGAAACATGAAATCCACCAGTGCCTTGATCTTGGACTTACCTGTCTCCACACTGTGAGAAATAAATTTCTGTGGTTTAAGCTACCAGTCTATGATATTTTGTTACAGCAGCCTGAATGAAGGCAATTATGTTGTTATGTAAAATGGTATTAAGTTATGTTTTCTGTTTTATTAACTCAGAACAGTAAGACTTCTTGCCCTCAAGCTTGTGTGAGAGGGCAGACAAGGGACTTTTGTTTTTTTTGCTGTACGCGGGCCTCTCACTGTTGTGGCCTCTCCCATTGCGGAGCACAGGCTCCGGACGCGCAGGCTCAGCGGCCATGGCTCACGGGCCCAGCCGATCCGCGGCATGTGGGATCTTCCCGGACCAGGGCACGAACCCATGTCCCCTCGTGTCCCCTGCATCGGCAGGCTGACTCTCAACCACTGCACCACCAGGGAAGCCCGGGACTTTTATTAATGCAACAAAAAAGAAAGTTTTAATCCATTGACAACTGTTCTTGACCTTCAAACTGATTAAAAAATAAATAGGCCACCACCAAGAGAAAGAAAATGTTTATTCTTCAAGTTTTTGAGAAAATGTGACCTTTTCTTTTGGCTAAATTCATGATTTGTGCACACACATAAACTTGTGATGTAACGATTTTAAACCTCAGATTGCTTATGATCAGCTAAAGGATCTTAGCCAGTAAAAAATGTGCTAATAATGAGGATAATGAAACTTACTAAGATTGGCTTCAAAATCCCAGTTCATTTCACTGCTTCTTAAAATATCAGATACAGTGTTTTTTGATTGGAGTCACAAGAATACTCCCAATAGTTTTAAGATAATGCAACTAGAGAGTAAACAATCTGATTTTTAACTCAAAAGCAGTTAAAAAGCAATTTGTTCTGGGTTATAAAATCAAGTATTGTTTTCAGGACAAGTGAACGAGGTAAAGGGCTATGTTAACATTACATAAGTGAAGAGGTAAGATAGTGAGGCCATTGTCCAGCTGTAATAAGAACCAAAAACAGTGGAAATACTTTAGATTTACTGGAAAACTACATATAAAGACTGACAGCAAGGTGCCTTGCCTTAGCTCAGCCACTCAGAAATTGTGTAACCTTGGAAAACGTTTAGAACATCTCTAACTTTCAGTTTCATTATTTAAAAAGGGAAGGTAATGACTGTCTGATCAGATAAAATATTTTAATACAAACAACATTCCACTGTTAATTGATGTCTGTGTTAAATTTGGGGGTTAGTTTTAGGGGAAGTATTTTAATAGTAACATTTCCACTTACAAACACTGTGAAGTAAGCCATCTAGGAAATAATCAGGGTTTCTTACCCAGCAGAATAATGATGCAGAGGAGAATGGCGACCAAGGCCCCTGTGCTGAGGCCGGCGGGAAGGAGCAGGGCCTCAGCGCTGCAGGACTGCATGTTGCCTTGGCTGTCACATGCGCACACTCTGATGGTGAGTGTGCCAGTGCTGCTCTGAATCGGGTAATCGTTGTCCGATATCACCACAGGCAAGAGATAGGTGCTTATTTCATGTCTACTGAAGCCATTTTTTCTGGTTAAAATTCTGGCAGTATTATCTAAAATAAATTTTAACATATTACAAATGGCTTTGGGGACAATACATTTGTCTCATCCTGATCAACGTGGTTTGACACAAAAATAAAGAGTTGTTTGTGTAAAATACAAAATTGATATCAATTTCCCTATCAAATATATACAAGGCAATTCAAATATAGATAAGATAAATAAGAGTTTGAAGAATCTAATACCATTATTACTTATTAGATTTTTAACTAATTTTCAGATGCTTTCAAAATGGTGATTTTTTTATAAGTGAATCATTTATCAAGACTATAGAGATGGTAGCATATTGTTTACCACAGTTTTCGAAAAACATAAATATTACGCATACCAAAGAAAAAATTATAGTAAATGTTTTTTATTTACAAATGTATGTGTGTGCACATACACAAAACACACATTAATCCAATATTCATGAAGAAAAATATGATTGGGTAAATTTTAACTATAGTTGTATTTTTAAAATCAATTAAGCATTCAAAAACCTTCAAGAGTCCCGATGTATGAAGAACAGTCAGCAAGTTACTTAATATTTTTGAACTTTGATTTCCACCAATTAAAATGAATACAGTGTGTAACTCAAAGTATTGGTGGAAGACACTAATGTGGAGTGCCTAACAGACACACAGAAAGAAGTAGGGACTTAATTGAGGCTAGCATCCTCCTACCTAGTATATTGCTACTGATATTTCCTTTATCCAATAACTCACCCAGTATCCTTAAATGTGGGTTGTGCATCTATATAATGATATTGAAAAATAAAATCAATATATACTTGGATGATAATTTCCTATTCTGTTTGTCCAATGTGCTGGGTCTTGTTTAGCCAATCCCATACGGATGCTTAAAATGCCAATGTAGGGAAGGGAGTGAGTTAGGCAATTGCTAAATCAAACCAACAGGATAGCAAAATTTAAAAAAAAGAAAAGAAAATGACAATCTTTTTGCAGGTGTAGTGGTTGAACATAAAGTAATCATTTCCTAAATTTTAGCAAGAAGTTAAATCTTAGTATATCAGTTAACTACCACATAATCTAGAATAGTAAATTAGCAAAATAGAAGATGTGCATAAGCAAATTTTAAAAATAAAATGTAATCCTGATAATGTTGCAATTCTGACTTTTCTTCCAAGGAGTATTAGGATACAATTCTTCCTTTCTCAAACCTACACTAAAACAAATATTTACATGCATATGGGTATTTTCAGAATCTTCTTGCCTTACTTTTAACTTTTCAAAAATGTCTAAATCTTAATTTTGCCTGCAATAGCTTTGATACATTGAAGAGCCAAAAGAAGTTTTACCCTAAACTAACAATTCTGTTTGAATCATTTTATTAAATATTCAGAAAGTCATCATATAATTATGCTTTTGACCTGTAAGTTAGTGAAAAGTGAGGCATCTTTAACAATGTGATACTAACTGTGGTATCACAGAAGCAGGAAATGTATTTTAAGAAAGATGTAGAATTAAAGATTTTTAAGATGAACATATAGACAAATGCAAGGGTATTTTCTCAAGAAGGTCAACTTTAAGGTGATGTCTATGTCATTGGAATTTCTTTCAAAATTCACCCAATAACAGAAAATAGTGAATTTATGAAAGATTAGATCAAATATTCCATCAGACTTTACTGGTAGTCTATTTAGTGTATGTTCAGGTTTGTATTCATATGGCTTCAGTCCTTGCTTTGAGTAACTTATGTAGGATCAGGAACTCTACCCAGTATAGGAAATTGCTACTATTTATCAAAAATTAATTAAGATTAGCTTGAGTTGTTTCCCCAGTAACTGTGAAGTGCGGTGATAAGATAGTACTATTTCAAGTCTCTATTACTTTTTAAAATTGAGAGGTGGTTGTTGAGATCCGGGGCTCAGTTTAACAAGAACATAAAACAAATTAAAATACAATTAGAAAGTGGTACAATACAATACGATATTTCAGCTCAGTACTAAGAATGTCCTGTCTAAATTATATGTTTAGGTTACCAGATTCAGCGAATTAAAGTGATGGGTCCTTTTCTAATATTCAGATATTACATCTGATATTGGGCATTTTGTATTTTATTTGCCAATTCTACATTAATATTTCTAATCACAATTATTTTAGGTGTCCAGAGGGACAGAAAAGATAGACATTTCAGAAGCTCATTAGTAAATAGATGTTACCAACCGATGCCTCCCTTCAGCTGATGTGTGCAAAGATCATACTATATCAAATATCTCAAGTAGTAGTTGCTCAGTGTAAAACTATCCATTATCTTAAACTGCTTTCTGACATTCTGAAATCCACCTAGATATGCTATAGCAACCTGGCTCTGCCAGTGTACATACACAGTTAGGAAGGTATTGTAAATATGCCAATGTAGTTATTAGATTTATTTTAAGAATAATTACATCTATAGTAGCTCTAAAACAAGTATGCCTTTTTACCAAAAACTACCTTATATAATTAGTTTTAACATAAATTTGTTGAAGACAGAAAACTCTGATTACATACTTTGGTTTAGCCTAGAATAATTACCATACATATTTTCCAAAGAATAAAGCTCTTTGACTTTTTGAAAATAGTGACCCATTTTTGTATTTTTCCTCAAAAATATGTTTCTTCTTTTTTTGAGAATGCAAGAAATATGTTTAGTATTTTTGATCACAGAGTCATTATAAGATTCATATGTTACACAGAAGAATAGTGCATCTTGCCATTGAAACTATGTTTTTGCACCCAATCCCCTCATAGGCTAATGTGGCTACTTTTATTTTTTCTTTGTCTCTTCTATGCCTTTTTGGCTTTGGTGAATCTGCTGCTGCTAAATCTCACTGAAGTTTACACAAGAGTCTCATTGAGCCATTCATTTCTCTGTGTGTCCTACTATTTTGTTATAGGAACTGATTATTCTGGCCTTTCTAATGTTTGCAAGATTCAGTCTTTGCATTAGAACCCATATAGAGTCTTCTTTCACATATTTTATAATCTTAAAATTCAAGAAAGTAACCACTGTTAAGAAATTACCATAATAGCGCATTAAAAATATAATGAAGCCAAAATTTTGTAACACAGATCTATAAATGAATATATCATGTATATGGTAATTGTTACTTTGGGGAAAATTTCTTGTTAATGTCACCTTAAATCATAATGAACACGTTCTAAAATTTACCTTCATTGTCTTGTACTGTGAAGTTTGGATTGACAGCTGCTAAACTGAAGAAAAATTTTTGTCCACCTAAGGGATCATCTTTGTCTACTGCACTTATAGTCTGTATTAGCTGCAGAAGAGAGAAAAATGTATATTTATCAAATTTCCATGGGTAGAATCTGCTTTATAATATATAATTTTTTAATATCCAATTTTGTCTAACATTTTTTAAAGGACAATTGATTTTCTTCCTTGTGCATGTACCTTTGTTTGAGTTATTCCATCTTTTTATTATTACTTAGATTTAAACAAAGTCTCTCTCTCTCCCTCCCACTAGTAATTAATTTAATACTAAATCAATTAAAGTTAATTATAATTAAAATAATAAATAGTAACATTGTATTCTTTACAGTTTTATTAGATATAGCATTTGAAATAAGTAGGTATTTCATGTATATTTAAACATTTATCTAGAAGATAAATGTATCTAATGTAGGAAAATTTAGAAAATTATTGTGATTAGGGCTTTCCTCTTCATTAAAAGTAAAGTGAAAACTATTCAAAGAATTTAGAGATTTTATAGACAATTACATATAACTTTATAAAGGAAAGACAAACATTACAGTATTATCTAATTTAACAGTAACTGTTCACTTCATTTGCACTGTCAACAGAATTATATATTTTTAAATTCAACATATACGTATAATACTACAGGGATTGGTTATTTTAAAAAGGTCAACTCTGATTTATTTTAGGGTAAGAGAATATAAGAAGCTATCTAGTAACAAAGTAGAAAATTTAACACCTTATACTATAAACAGATGGCTGCTTTGAACATATTATACAATTAATTAATATTATACAAATATATATGTAACAGATAGCTATGTATTTTTTGCATATATATACATTTTGTCCTTAACTTATTTATACAATACCATTTTATGTATTTTTGCATATTTTAATTTTGCAAGAAGATTTCAGAAGTTGTTAAATATGTGTTTCAATGCCTAGTAAATGGTCAAATTTATGTTTAACTGAAAGGAATATACTTTTTACTGCATTAACTCAATTTTATATTGTCTGGATATTTGATGTAAGTATTTGTTACTGATGTTTTATTAATTTAGAAAAGATTCTTAAGTTTAAAACACTATGTAAAATAATTAGAAAAAATTAAGGAAATATTTTAAGTATTCCATATTAAATTATTTTTCTTTTAAAGTGTTCTATAAAAATTTAAACGTGGGGTTCCCTGGTGGCGCAGTGGTTGAGAGTCCGCCTGCCGATGCAGGGGACACGCATTCGTGCCCCGGTCCGGGAAGATCCCACATGCCGCGGAGCGGCTGGGCCCGTGAGCCATGGTCACTGAGCCTGCACGTCCGGAGCCTGTGCTCCGCAACAGGAGAGGCCACAACAGTGAGAGGCCCGCGTACAGCAAAAAAAAAAAAAAAAATTAAAATTAAAATGTGGTAAAGTTGCGGTACTCCTTAATCATTTATTTCAAAATGATACAAGAAATATAATTGGACCAAACAAAGATAAATGTTAATCGTCTAGAAATAAGTAGCAAAACAATCATTTAAAACTTTAAATAATTTAAAATATATATTTAAAAATCTAACATTATGAAATTTTAGTGGTTATTTAAGATTAAATATAAGCAAGAATTTATGGCTAATGGCTTATCCAGTCAATCAAAAACAAAAAGGTGGTATATATATAAAGGAATTCAAGAGAAAAATGTTAAAATAATTTTAACTAATACCCTTTAAGATGTATCTATTCAGTTACAAATATATTTCTTGACTGACTCGTTTGAGGAGCAGTCTAAAAGATTTTATTTTCAAATAGTGATTTATAGAAATAAGTTGAAGAGGAAAAAAATGGCATAAATGAAATAACATATCAAGAAAGATAGTAGACTAATAGAAATTCTTATGTCTATATATATCAATATTAATATATTAACTCACATACAGATGCATAAAATTATAGAAATGTAAAAGTAGAGCTAATGGTCTTTTAAAATAAAAACTACAATGTCTCATAATAAATTTACATTTGCAACTGTGATTACAAATTACAATTCCAGTTCATTTTTATGGACAAAATAACATAGTTCAGAGAATGAAATGGCCACATCTTTACATATAACTATAAGAAATTATAAAGGTTTACATAAAAATTCTCAATTAAGATGTATTATTTTAATAAAAGACAGTAGCACTGTATATGGTAGCAATACTTCAGCGATTTGCTAATGTATCTTCATTAAATGTTATAAAGGGAATAAGTAAACTCATTTAACAATGCAGACAAAATAGAATGACATGCTGCAAATCAATATCATATCACAACATACTTTTATGACCAGAAGACTTCTCTATGCAGATGGAGACACTTACTTCCTTTACAAGATAGATTTTTTTTCTCTTTGAGGTATAACTTGGCTTCTAGCATTCAACTTCCCCATATTCAGCATTTACCTTTTAATACAGTCTTCCTTTGCATTTCCAGTCATACATTAAAAAGTCACATTTTATTTCGGTATTTGTACCATAAAGAGTTGCAATAGAAATCAGAAGATGGCAACAAGAAGGAGGTAAAACTGCTTCTCCTGTCTCTCCCTATAAGACCTCACTATTTTATTTCGACTAGAGACAAATTCATTTTGACCCACTGCCAATAAAAGAAGTTGCCACAGTTAGGAAAAAAAAAAAAAAAAAGGTGATGTCCAGTATCCATTTTGAGCATATGAAAACTAGACACAGACAAGTCATTTATATTTTATCTCCTTAGCAATTATATAATTGGCTTGCATGTTCACTGAGCTATTCTAAAATAATCTTAAATGAACTTGAAGGGTGTTTCAGGGATAAGATAATGAAGTTTGGAATGACAAATGGATTTTAAGATGTTTAGTTAGAAAACTGGTCACTGAGTTTTAACATTTTAGTTTTTTCGGTGAAAAGACTAGTAGTTTCCACTGATGCGAAAATTCCCTTTGCTCTGGTAAAAAAGCACCCTTTTTAGTTGTTAGGGAAGTAACTAAACACTGTTTTATGGAAAATATGTAATAGGATTTTGGGGGTTGATAAGGGCCTGGAGCTTAGATACTATCAATGGGTAAATATAAGCAGCCTATCTCCCTGGAGAGACTCCCTGGGAAATCTCTTTTGAGACTGAAATGCTATTGCCCCCTCATAGAAATTAAAAATTATTAAAATATATTTTATTGACTAAAGGAGTAAAGCCTGTGTGAGAGAAAATGGAAGAAAGAGAAATAGCCAGTCCTCTCTTCTGCCCTTTCCCAAGGTCCCTTGACTCTGTCTGAGATGGAAAAGATGGGAGTCTAGTTGCCTAGTTCAAGCATAAGACAGGACTATTCATACTACATCACTTGTAAATTGCATCCCTTTCCCCGGGGGAAAATCTTCTACCCTTAGGCCAGGGAAAAGGCAAGAAAGGTGGAGAGGGTGGCAATTAGCTTTATTTCTGTCTCATTGAGTCCACACACCAAATGAATCAGAATTAAGTTCTATGTTGTTCTAAGTGCTGCTCTTAAAGAGCACTTAATTCAGAGGAGTACTGGGTGGACTAAACTACTCTATAAATAACTAAAGCACACTCAGAAGTTCCAAAAAGCTCCTACTTCCCCGGAAGGAGGGAAGACAGACTTAACAAATTAATTTCAAGAAAGGCTCAGTGAAGAAGGACTTTATCAAATAACTATTTTGATTTTGCCTGCTAGGATGTCATAACCTAGAATTCCATCAGTGAGTATATTTCAGTTCAGTTCAAGCAACAATTTTTCAGCATATGAGACCAAAATGACATCTAACAAACGAGTCTTATTAAAAATAACTACTATGGGAGGCTTTTGCACATGCCGCCAATTAGACAAAAATTATTAATCATGTTCTTCTTGTCAAATTTGTCAAAATAGACTACTTTTTTTTAATTAAAATCAACTTTGATTTGATTATTTTCCCTCAATATACCAACTTGTTTTTAAAAGTTCAAAAAATATGAAATTACTGAGCCAGATATAGGTTAAAAGAAAAAAGGCATAAGAAAAATAAACAAACACAATCCCTTATTTTGTGTATTTTGAATACATTTGGGAATGAGTATTTATAATGACTCAAATGCTCTGAAAAGATATCTCTTGAAAATCAAATAGAATAACCATAGAGCGAGCAATATATGTAGCAGTTGCAAAGTGGGTAATTCATCTCCTAGAGAAAAGGCTTCAACTCATATCATGCTGAGCCTGCCAAGCAGAGGACTATTTGGAATTGTATTTTTAGGGCACACTGTTTCATTAAGAAGTAGGTTGGAAGCCGCTTAGTCCTTTAAATATTCCAAATTAAACATTTCCATAACACTTTCAAACAAAAAAATGAATCCAATTGCAGCAATTTTACCATTTCGAACAATAGACAGGCTATTGAATTCCTGTTAGAATCTTCTGAAGGAAGAATTTGAGCTATTTCACAATCTAATTTGCATAAAAATGTACCAATCACATCGATGTTTATAAAGAGCATCAAATGATGTCAAAACGCAATACAGTTTCGCGATGGCTTCTCTTTCTTGAATAAAACACATTTGATTCCCAATTATTATTTATAACATGCAGCTTCCTTCTGTGAAGATGGCATTCAAACCAATTAAGAACATCTCTTTCAGCCATACAGGCTGGGGCTCTTCAAACAACAAAATGAGTCCACTGAGGAAAAGACTTATAAACAAATCTGGTATAGGAAGAATGTTTTAAAGGACGAAAACGAAGTCATTAAGCACTTTATGTGTTGCTACGATGATGAAATGCAAGTATAAGTCTTAAGAGTGAACTCTGCGGCCCTGCTTCAAAACCGTATTTGCATACATTGCAATATTGATGGAATGCTTTGATGATCCCAAGTATTTGTCTCTGTTTTCCCCAACTTTCATTTCCCATCTTGTGAGCTGTTACCAATATTTATCTAATGGCACAGCAGGATTTATTTTTTCTTTTGTTCGTTTATTTTTGTTTTTGAAAGTTTAAGAAGTTATTTCTTCTTACACTTTAACTTTTGTGGCTACAGTAAAATCTCATATTTACATTAGAACTTTACGAAGGACATATGAAATGTGTTTACACTATTATTTAAAACATTTTTAACCCTAAAATCATCAGCCTTTGCTTTTGTTTTTTGTTTGCGTTTAATCATACTACTGGGACTTTATATGAGTGATTTTATCTCTGTTCACTCACTCCTCTCAAGATTGGTAAAAGAAAATACTTAACGTCCCTGTTAAAATCTTCCCACACTTTAAAATTCTATGGGTGCTTACCTGTCCTGGTCTGGCATTTTCACATACAAAAGTGTCATAGAACACAGCGAATTGTGGGGCATTGTCATTAACATCCAAAATTCTCACAAAAACAGCCACCCGAGTCATCTCTTTGGGATTGTCTAGAAAAAGGAAAGGAAAAAATCTGTTTAGGAAGACACATTTGTACACCAGATTTAATTTATATAAGCCTCTTGTGGATATTAAGTGCTCACATACAAATAAGCATCACCTTCATTCTACTAACGTAATGAGCAAATGCGATAAAGAAAATTACTGCAGAGCCTAATTAGGTAGTCATGAATTCAGTTATTAATGGGCCCAAGAGTACTATTAATATTTTGAAAAATCTTTTTAAAAGCACAATCCAGTATAATTGAGTTCATATTATATTTGTGTCCTTATTCTCCAAATACACAATATAAGAACAAATATTTATTAAATCTTTATTATATGTCATTATATTTCTTAATTTATACCATTTTTTTTGGATGAAGAGTGGTTTTAAATAAATTAGTAACTTGCCCGAGGTCATCTACGTGGTAGTTGTTATATTACAACCTACCCTTCTGACTACTTCTATCACTAAAATGTATTCCAACAGCTACTCTCATCCCTCCTTTTGGAAATTTTAATATATAGCTACTAATTTTACAAACTGGATGGAAATTTACAATGAAATACAAGATTTTAAATGTTTCATTAATACAATTGTTACTGGTACCATTTCTGTTGGTACCTGGTACCTGTTACTGGTACCAGGCTCAATTTTGTATAACAAAATTAGTTCAATAGTAACATGTAGTGTAGTAATCATGATTTTTTTTGGCTAAAATCAAGGGCATCAAAGTTTTCACATAAAAATATGCATTTAAAAATATGTTTTGATTTGTAAATGGAATTTTAAAATATATCTTAGCCTTGGGTAACAACCGCATATTAGTCATAATTGCATTATCTCCACCAAGAATTTTTCTAGGCACTTGCACTGATATCTGAGGTGTTTGGAGATCTTAAATTCAGGTTTATATTCATCAGCCTTTGTGATGTCAAAATCTCAGTCTCTGGATATAGTTCAACTTCTTTGTGAACTTCAGTAAAGTCAAGCTCAAGATCAATATAAAAGGAGAAAGGAGATAATTCGCTAAAAATAAAGCAAAAAAAAAATAGATAAGCTGAGGGACAGTAGCCATCTTACTAAGTGGCCTCTACCAACTTTGGTTATGAATAATATGATTTACCCTTGTGAAATTTATCTGATTTTCTAATTTTATCTAAATAATTTTCAGACACAAGGGTTAAAAAATATTGTCAGGTACAAACAGGGAGTATATCACTACTCAAGAGAATTTATTTCTCCTCCCTTCTCTCCATGTAATTTTAATGTTACTAAAATAATTAAATCATCATTTTAAAAAAGTAACATGTAAGAACTGATTACTTGGCAGGGTCGTTTACAAGGCTGAGTAGTATGAAGCAAGGCAGACACTTCCATCTGAAGTGTATTTACCTTACTTTACTCTTTTCAAGGGAAACTTTAAAGTGCATCTCCTCTTTAACACTCTTGTTTAGTCTTCCTTCAGTCTTCTTAACCCATATGTGTTCAGTTCTCAGGCTCTGATTTCATATTTGCTAATCTATTGCTGCATATTATTCACTTCTTAGTATGTCAGGTGGTTAGAGTTTAGATCCTGGAGTCAAACAGAGTTGACCTGATCCCCAGGTCTACCACTTATTCATTGTGTGACTTTGGCCAGTTTACACTCTGTCTCTAATGCCTCAGTTTACTCAAAATGAATCAAAATAGAACTTCTGATCTTATACAGTTATTTGAATAATTAGGTGAGCTAATGCATGGAAACTTCTTATCGAAGTATCAGTTTGTTGGTATACACACAAAACAAATACATGTTGACTATTGTTATTAAGATCCTTTATTATCATTGTCATATCTTCCTTTTTTGAAATTTATTTATCTATTATTTATTTTTGTCTACGTTGGGTCTTTGTTGCTGCGTGCAGGTTTTCTCTAGTTGCAGCGAGCAGGGGCTACTCTTCATTGTGGTGTGTGGGTTTCTCATTGCGGTGGTTTGTCTTTATTGCGTAGCACGGGCTCTAGGTGTGCAGGCTTCAGTAGTTGTGGCACGTGGGCTCAGTAGTTGTGGTTCACAGGCTCTAGAGCGCAGGCTCAGTAGTTGTGGCGCATGAGCATAGTTGCTCCGAGGCATGTGGGATCTTCCTGGACCAGGGCTCAAACCTGTGTCCCCTGCATTGACAGGGAGATTCTTAACCACTGCGCCAACAGGGAAGTACCACTGTCATATCTTATTTCCTTACATTACTTAAAAGCTTAAGCTATCTTTCTCCACGCAAAGCATGTACACAATAAAAATGTGTTAACTAGCTTTCCTGCAATTCATGTGGGTCTCAAGAGGAGTACATTTGGGAAAAAGTGAGGAGAGGAGAAAAAAATGAGAAAAATGTTTTTCTGCTATTTTCCTACCTCCCTCACTCCTAAACAACTTGCTAAAACCCAGAGGCATAGTGTTCACCTCCAAATGAATCCTCAACTACCCCGAGTTACTTGATGCTATGGGGAAGAGTGGGAAGGCATGATTCTTCTGTATTTTCTAGAATGTGCTCTTTAACCTACTTTTATAGTTAATGGACATAATCTACATGTTTTCCTTCAATACAAAGTCTTGACATAAAAATAACTCTTGGGTTTCCCTGGTGGCGCAGTGGTTGAGAATCCGCCTGCCAATGCAGAGGACACGGGTTCGTGCCCTGGTCAGGGAAGATCCCACATGCCGCGGAGCGGCTGGGCCTGTGAGCCATGGCCGCTGAGCCTGCGCGTCCAGAGCCTGTGCTCCGCAACGGGAGAGGCCACAACAGTGAGAGGCCCGCATACCGCAAAAAAACCAAAAAAACAAAAAAAACCTCTTTTGTTGGTAGCAATTCAGTTTCTAACTGTGCCACAGAAGCCAAGAAAGACAAAAGTTTCACATCTAAAAAACTGCATTGTCAGTCCCTTCCCTAACACAATATGGAGATTCTCCAGCCTCTTTACAGGTAACTCAAGGCTCTTCAAATCAAAAGCTAAATCCACGGGGATAAACACGTTTTGTAAAGCACCAGGCCTGGAGTCACCTATTCAAAAAACAGTGCTTACACTAATCTTTTTACTGGCAGATGCGGCTGCTTAGGTAGAAATAAAAATATAAAGCCTTCCAAGGAAGCATCCTACTGAATAGGAGCTGGCATATATTTACCACCTGAGACTCTTGGTCATCCAGCAAACTCTACTGTAGTGAGAATGTGTGAGCAGCAAAGGATCTTAAAATGTATGTCCTAAGGTAAAACCACGCCACGTATTCACAGGCTTTTCCATACCTCCAGGAAGAAGAAAGTATAAATCGTTATCTAGAAATCCCAGGCTTTAGAAAGAGGTATCTCTTCTACCTACTTAAGGCAAGGATTTCTACTAATGAGGAAGCAGGTATAGAAAATGGAGTCCTTCAGTCATAAACTTTGCTCTACTGTTGTCAGAATATATTGCAATGCTTATAATTTAATCTTCAGATGTGGTTATAGGAACTCATTGGTTTCTACATCAAAGTGTTTTACAATCCCTGATTATGACCTTAATTTTAGATTTTATATTCTCCACATGGGATTTTAAAATACTTTTTAAAGAAGAAAAAGAGAAGTTATTCCATGGTATAGTGCATTAAATGATTACCTGGAGTAATACTTTCCATACGATGGGATACACTGATATGAATGTAGAATTAAACTGTTAGAGGCAGAGCCTGGAAACATTGGTAAGAAGTACATTTCCAGGCCGTTCTGCACTACTCTGGACTTGGTGTATGGCATGCTTACCACAAACCCAGTGTTTAAAATCTAGTGAAAACAATTCCTTACATGCTGTTTCCCTCTCCCCCTCATTCCATTTGATAATCGGAACAGTATGATGGGCCCCGACTGTTTGTGGCTTGGCAGGTAGACATTTCCAGCAGTTACTCCATAGATTGATTTTATTTACGGGCAGAAAGTAGGTTTAATTCTTAAAAAGAAGAACATAATTGACTTAGCTTTTTACAGAATTGTCATTACTTCAACTAGCTTTAGAAGTTAAATTTCTCAAAGTATCTGAAATGGAAAATGCAATTCCGAGGTCATTAGGCTTGAATAAGGACCTTGAATAGAGCATAGAGCACAAACAATCATGATTCTGGAGTAATCAGACTGGATCCTGTCGGGCACATCTAAACACTGTGATATGGATACAGATAGAGAAATAAAACTTTCCTTAAGAAAAACTAAAAAATTCTTCAGTTCACCCTGAGAGACACAGCTATTTATATCTCATTATGGAAAAACTGGATTGTTTGGATGGTGGGGTTAATCTATATTTCAGAGGCAGATTTAAGAAAAAATTAAATCTAGTACTTTCTCTTGAGGCATTAAGTTCATTGCTGATGGTCAGTCTAGCCTGGTTCCATCCTTCTGAGACTCTTCGTAATTCAGCCCCAATGCCCTGCTTTCCAAATCTTGGAATGATTACTTCGAATAACTTGACCTTGATATATGTTTGTGGATTCAGCTTAGTTTTTCAGATCTGAAATGTATAGGCTTAGTTTTTTTTGGGTTTTTTTTACCATGATTCAGTCCCTAATTTATGCTTCTTTTTAAAACAACGAGTTGCTCTATTCCATGCACATATCATAATGCAGGAATCAGAAACCATGAACAGGTTTGTGTGTGTGGGCAGGGCTGGCTCATGGCCATGTCTAACTGAGCAGGGCCTCACACTCAGAAGGGCCCCACACACCCTTATTTAATGCTCTGCTGTAGCCATCTTTTTTTTTTTTTTTAAACATCTTTATTGGAATATAATTGTTTTACAATGGTGTGATAGTTTCTGCTTTATAACAAAGTGAATCAGCTGTACATATACATATATCCTCATATCTCCTCCCTCTTGCGTCTCCCTCCCACCCTCCCTATCCCCCCCCTCTAGGTGGTCACAAAGCACCGAGCTGATCTCCCTGTGCTTTGCGGCTGCTTCCCACTAGCTATCTATTTTACATTTGGTAGTGTATGTAAGTCGGTGCCACTCTCTCAGGTCGTCCCAGCTTACCCTTCCCCCTCCCCGTGTCCTTAAGTCCATGCTCTACGTCGGTGTCTTTATTCCTGTCCTGCCCCTAAGTTCTTCAGAACCTTTTTTTTTTTTTAGATTCCATATATATGTGTTAGCATACGGTATTTGTTTTTCTCTTTCTGACTTACGTCTCTCTGTATGACAGACTGTAGGTCCATCCACCTCACTACAAATAGTGCAATTTTGTTTCATTTTATGGCTGAGCAATATTCCATTGTATATATGTGCCACATCTTCTTTATCCATTCATCTGTCGATGGACACCTAGGTTGCTTCTATGTCCTGGCTATTGTAAATAGAGCTGCAGCGAACATTGTGGTACATGTCTCTTTTTGAATTATGGTTTTCTCAGGGTATATGCCCAGTAGTGGGATTGCTGGGTCGTATGGTAGTTCTATTTTTAGTTTTTTAAGGAACCTCCATACTGTTCTCCATAGTGGCTGTATCAATTTACATTCCCACCAACAGTGCAAGAGGGTTCCCTTTTCTCCACACCCTCTCCAGCATTTATTGTTTGTAGGTTTTATGATGATGGCTATTCTGACAGCTGTGAGGTGATACCTCATTATAGTTTTGATTTGCATTTCTCTAATGATTAGTGATGTTGCGCATCCTTTCATGTGTTTGTTGGCCATCTGTATATCTTCCTTGGAGAAATGTCTATTTAGGTCTTCTGCCCATTTTTGGATTGGGTTGGTTGTTTTTTTGATATTGAGCTGCATGAGCTGCTTATAAATTTTAGAGATTAATCCTTTGTCAGTTGCTTCATTTGCAAATAATTTTCTCCCATTCTGAGGGTTGCCTTTTCGTCTTGTTTATGTTCTCCTTTGCTGTGCAAAAGTTTTTAGTTTCATTAGGTCCCATTTTTTTATTTTTGTTTTTATTTCCATTTCTCTAGGAGGTGGGTCAAAAGGATCTTGCTGTGATTTATGTCATAGAGTGTTCTGCCTATGTTTTCCTCTAAGAGTTTGATAGTGTTGCCATCTTAAATTTCTTAATCATGTTTTAACATGAGGCCTGATACTTTCATTTTATAATAGGCTCTAAAAATTATGTAACCAGTCCTGTGTATGGACAAGAACTTTTGCAATTAGAGACAGATATGATTTTGAATGCTGGCTTTGTCTGTTACTAGCTGGATGAAATTTTGTAAATTTGGTATAGAATTAAGTCATTCTAGAAACAGAATGACTAGTTTAAAATCCCAGTTTTACTACTTCTGGCATTGTGACTTTGGACAAGTTACTAATATCCCTGGAGTCTTATTTCCTTCTCTGTTAAATAAGGTCAAGAAAAATATTAGGAGGAAAGAATTAATTTAAAATTCTTAGAATAATACCTTCACCGAGTGTTTAATGTTAGCTCTTATTACTAATATCTTTGTTTCTTCACCTGTAAAAAGGAAGTAATATTATCTATCTCTGTGTTTATTGTTAAATAATGGACTCCCAGCATTTTAGCATAGATTTTAATTCATGGCATCCAAGCAACAATTTTAATACATTTCCCTTTCTCCCAAAGAGAATATCTTTAGTTTCCAATTCTAGATCATTTTTATGAGTTAATATTAAATGTAGATTTGTGGATGCCTACAGCTATTTCTCAGTATATATAGAAACTATTGAAAAAAATTATAGGTGTAGAGAAGCCTTTTAAAACCTTAGATTGAAATTACAACTCATGTGTGCAATGAGAAGAAATTATTCTTAATACAAAATAAAACCTAAAATTATGCTAAATATGATATACATAAAACTCATCTTACTGATTTCAGCAGCGATAACAGTAAGATTGTGCCACTGAGATAGTTCACGGTCAAGTGGCTTTGATGTATAAAGGGATCCATTTCCAGAATGTATGTTAAAAATCCTGTCGAGGTCAGTGTGGCGATCCAAGGAAAATCTGAACATCGAGGGCAGAGAAAAACACATGGCAGCATTACTGATGGTTTGCAGGAGAAAGTGGTGAAATGCAAAGACACATATATAGTGATATATAATAATTTCAGGAAAGTACATAGTACTGATCCAGGATGCAGACTGTGTAATGGATTTATCACAAACACACACACACACAAACTGACCCTCTCCCATCCTCCCAAAACCTCTTCCCAAGACCTGAATTGACCTTTGTTCTGCATTCAAATGCTGGTCTTCTGAATGTTTGTTTAATTAAATCATTGTCTATTGCATATTCAACTAACCTTGAGGTATTTTTCCACAAAACTTGGAATTACAATTTTACATTACCAACGGACATTACCTAGTGATTGAGAACTCTGTTGAAGAATTATTACAAGGATCAAATGCAAAATATCATTCCCACTAGTAAAGTCTTTTAGTAAGAATACTGGAGACAGCATTAGTTCCCTCAGAGTAGTAGATCATCAATTTATGATGGTGTTCAGCAGCTTCAAAGTATGATACCCAGGTAGCTTTGGTTTCTTACCCACATGTATCATTATAAAATGTATACATTTTAACTAGAAATGTTTTAAAAATAGAAAAGTTTGGGATAGGAGTTCTTATATGTTTGTATCAAATTAAATCTTAGTATATATATTACAAAACCAACTATTCTGCAAATTGATTAAAGGCATTGTGTCGGGTGTCATTCCAAAGCCCAACTACAGGTTTATCAAACAGGATGATGTAGTTGGGATAAGTTCCATTATTTGGGGGGTTGTCAGCCAAGGTTTAAAAGAGCTGTACATTGGTGGTTCCTGCCACTTCACAAGCCTAGTTGTTTACAAACGTTTCTTAATTCTTGAGTTAGCAAGCATAATCCCCCAAGTTATCTTTAATGTTCCCTATTTAAAAACTTAAAAAACAAATCAAAATAAACATGACAAAACTAGGAGTAATATCTAGTTATGGCATATATTTTCCTAAGCCACAACTGTCATTTATTTGAAGGAACAAGATATGAAATATTATTTTTAAATAGTATTTTGTAAGTAATAACACAAAATAATTTTGAAAGTGCTGTAAAACTTTTTTCTTTTAGTGTTCCAAACGTATAATATTTCCAAAAATCAATTGAAATTTATGATCTTTTTGTGGGGTTTTTAATAAATTACACTAGAAGAATAACAACATTTTGATACAGTTAATATGATTTTATTTTTGAGGATTGCTTATTTTAGATTTTTATTTTAAATCAGTTCTAAGTAGAATCGACCAGTAATTTGCAAATTTCCTTAATAAACCCCATCCCTCTCTATTAACACAATATAGATTTAGTTTTGTATTCAAACTACATGCTTTAGCCATTCACAAATAAAGCAAAACATTGTATCTCTATATCTGGAATAATTCACAAATTACATCCCAAGTTGACATAATTATTTTACTACTGAAAGAGTCAACGTAAATTTTACCTCCTCCTTGGACTGTTCCATGATTACCTGAAGTAGAAGCTATTTGTCCCCTTCCATCCTAAAGCACCTTGTACCATCATCTCTGCCATTTACCACATTGTATTAGGAATTCATCTCATCTCACATCTCAAACAGGAAATCAAGCATGAAAACAGCAAGCATCATACTTGGAATCTAGTAGATACTCAATGAATCTTATTTCTCATACTGAATCTTCTTTCCTAACAGACTGAGAATTCCCTGAGAAACAAATTAGTAACTGACATGGTGACCTACAAATATTTGTTGAATGACTTCTTTGGCATTTTGGCAAATGATAAGTATCCTTATTTCTACAGAAATATGACAGGAAGTTGCATTATGTAAATCAATATAGAGCATCATTGTCTTTTCCAAATCCATTTTATGTGTGTTTTGTCTTTTTTCTTGTAGTTCAGTTTAAAAGCTAGTGACAAAATTTAAAGGATTATGTGAAATTATCTTGAAGATACAGAGAGATCCTGGTTCTTTTTCAAACCTGATATAATTATAGTTGACACTTGAACAACATGGGTTTGAATTTCCTGGGTCTACTTATATGCAGATATTTTCAGAAAATATAAACTAGAGTCTGTGTTTATTGAATAAATAAATGTGAGGTTGAATCCTTGGACACGGAACCGCGGATGCAGAGGGCCAACTATAAAGTTACACTCAGATTTTTGACTGTGGGGAGGGGGCGAGGGGAGATTTGCACCCCTAATCCCTGAGTTGTTCAAGGGGCAACCGTTTATTTTTCAATTCTCTATCGGTAAATTATGTTTATTACCTAACATTTTCATTTAAAAAAATCAGTTCCAAAAGACAAATTTTAGGTAAATACCTTTGATTATTGCATTAACATCTACAATACATGACACGGACAGTTTATAACATGACCAGTATTATCCGATTATCCATCCCTAAATACATTGCTTTAGTAAAACTACTTTACCTCTTTGATTATATATATACATCTTTTTAATCTGCATGGCCTATCAAGATTAACATCCAAAAATATTCATTTTCTTTTTCTACATCAAGTTAGTATAAATTCAAATATACAACAACGATCTTAGCTAGACTCTGTCATTAATAAGCAATGAAGTCATTAATTCTGTTGCTTAGTACACATAAATGGATTCTTTTCTCCTGGTCCTGAAATTTGCATCCTGATGAAAAATTTAACTTAAGAAAGAATCCACAGACATATTTTAACATGTAATAACCATTAGTCTATGAGAATATTTAGAATCTATTTCACTGTGTGGACAAATATATTGCCTCTTAATAATGCCACGATTTAAACTGAACTTTTTTTAAATATTACATTTTATTTTAAGAAGGCCATTTTAAAACCAGGAACACAGAACACAGGCTATTAAAATCAGTTAGGAGCTCTGCCAAGGGAATGCTTCATAGTATTCAATGGGGAAGAATAAGAGTGTATGTTCAATAAATGTCTACCGAAGGAATGACAAGAAAAAAAAAAAAAGCTTTAAAGGAGAAAAATCCAAAGAATGCAGCAATTTCAATGAAGATAAATGGATGGGAGAGGCATTTATGGGAAAACCATGCTGACAGATGGGACCTGTCCTTGACTACCATATGCAGGTTTTGTCTGCCAATATGTAACCTGTCATGTATGTGACATGTATGTGACTATAAGAAAATATTTAGGTAAAATTATATAAATCAAATAATAATTTTAATATATATGCATATAAATATATATGAAGTCACTTGATGATACGGCAGAACCTACAGAATTTAAACTTTGAGCTAGAGTCACATGGTGCATAAAAGTAGAGGTTCTGACATTCCACTGCTGCATAGTTAGGAGTCAGAGAAGTGTGTACTTGGAAATTGTACAACCACTTGAACTCCTACTAGACTGGCCCACATTGTAAAAAGGATAAGCAAAATCAGTCTGCTGAGGATAAGGAAACAAATGAAATCCAAAATAATTGATGGACTAACAGTTTAAAGTGAGCAGTAATTTTGATCCTGAATATTGTATATAGATATTTGTACTTTTTTAAAATGAGAGAACAAATGTCAGTGAAAACTTTGTCTTTCTCATTTGTATGTTTTTATCACATCTTATATGTTTTTAGGTGCCATAAGAAAACAAAGCAAAACAAAAATTTGAAATGACTCTGATCTTTCTGGAATGTTCTAAACTTTTTGATATAGCCAAAAGAACACCAAAAAAACTTCCCCCTTTGCTGGTAGGATATAGAAGTTTCTAAAATCATAACTACATTGTAACATTGTTATGATTATATAATTTTTAATTATTAAAACTCCTCTCAACCTCATATTATTTAAGAACCCAAAAGCACAGAGAAATTGATTTTGTTACATTGCAGATGCACAGCTGAAATAGTCCCCTTTATCTGTACCAGGCGTCAGAACAACAAATATCTTAAAGAGCCAGGCAGATGATACAAACCAAGTTTCAGTAACTGGCATGATTAAAATGGAATCAAACTATGAAATGTGTGCATACCTTGCCCCAGAACACAATTTATTTTAAATACTTGTGCTCACCCAACATATGCACAGCTCTATCCTTTTTTTTTGCCGTATGCGGGCCTCTCACTGTTGTGGCCTTTCCCGTTGCGGAGGACAGGTTCCAGACGCACAGGCTCAGCGGCCATGGCTCACGGGGCTAGCCGCTCCGCGGCATGTGGGATCTTCCCGGACCGGGGCACGAACCCATGTCCCCTCGTGTCCCCTGCATCGACAGGAGGACTCTCAACCACTGCGCCACCAGGGAAGTCCAACACAGCTCTATCTTTTAATGCATTAAACGCTTTAAATAGCATCTCATGCTCTCTACATTTACTTCAATTCCCTTTCTTTTCATCCTAAGCATAAGCATAATTACCTAATGGGGCTAGAAGTAGAATCTGGGTCCCTTGCCATCACAGTACCAATGATTGTACCCACTTCAATATCTTCATGAACCTCAAACAGATAGGAGGATCTGCTGAAAACAGGTGGTTCGTCCACATCTTCAATAGAGATTTTCACAATTGCCGTATCTTTAAATGGTCCTAGGTAATAAAAACGTGGATCCACATGGGTATTTTCTGCTTCAACCTTCAGAGTGTAAAGCCTTCGGCTCTCATAGTCAAGTGGCTGTATTAAAAATAATTAAGTAAATAAATCATCAAATTAGATTGAGGGAAATTGAATTATATGTTCCTTCCAAGTTACAGTATGATTTTTAAAGCCTAGTTGAGTTGTCAAGTTGTTTATAAACTGTAAATAATTAAAATTAATAAAAATATATAATCTTTACACATCAGGTGGAATTCAATTTTTACTTCTTATGTACTTAAAATGTAGTACTTCAGAACATAGGAAAATGAGATTTTAAATCTTAGAAAAATTGAAAAGGATATTAAGACCTGTCTCATATAGTAGAAACTCATTACAAAACATGGCCTGGTGGATTGTGTGTGTGTTTGTGTGTACGTATGTGTGCTGAGCTGTTGGCTACTGCTAAGTTTTTCTAAGTAAAAAATTCAGTAATCTTTTAAAATATATGTTGTGATACATCCATTCCGTTCAACAGGCTCATGGCACTACATAAACTTGATGAAATTTTGAAGACTAATACAAAACTTTTCAGCAGTTATATGAAACATTGAAAATAAGAAAAACCTTGGGTAAAGAGAAAAATTTTGATAGCTAATTGGTAATTAGGTTACATTATGAAACAAAAAGGAACTTAAATATTCAGTAGGTCACTCCTTTGCTGGTCATTGTCTGTTTAAAAGTGGTTGTGTACCTTGAACTTTGCAATAGACTCTGAGGAGAGTTCCGTGATTAACTGACGGTTACTTTATGCAAATAGAGTGTTCAGGACATTTCATTAGGACATACATTTTACTGGGCCTTATTTTTTCTTATAAGGATGGTACTGAATGTACAATAAAAAACTAGTTACCTTTAAATCATATCACTGAGCATATGTTAGCAGAAAAGTTTAATTTATGTAGCAGAAGGGAAAATGTGAACAATGAAATTATTTTCCAATCCATGCTGTCTCTTTTTATTAGCAACTCTAATTATTGCTTCATACATCTGGATAGATGGCATGTTACTTTTTATGCCTCCAACTGTGATGATATATTACTATTATTAGTTATTAACTATTTTTTTAAGGAAACGATGTTAATAAGGGGCTTTTATTAACGTGGCTCAGAAATACAATCACATGTATATTAACTTGCCTTTTAAATTTTGTAAAATGTCAGGTTTCATGTTTTAATTAACAAAAACATTTGGTCAAAACATTCAAGGAGATCTTTGGCTTTATGTCTCTCATACTTATGGTTTTTTTTTTTTTTTTTGCGGTACTCGGGCCTCTCACTCTTGTGGCCTCTCCCGTTGCGGAGCACAGGCTCCGGACACGCAGGCTCAGCGGCCATGGCTCATGGGCCCAGCCGCTCCGCGGCATGTGGGATCTTCCCAGACCGGGGCACGAACCCGTGTCCGCTGCATCGGCAGGCGGACTCTCAACCACTGCGCCACCACGGAAGCCCTACTTATGCATTTACATTGGAACATGGTAGGGATATTTCTTAATGGACAGAGCATGAGTGGATAATACATATCGAAATCCCTACTTCCTAAACAGTCAGATGATTATTTCTATTGATGTTCTGCACCTTTTTCACAGTGATGATGCCTTCCTGTGTGTCCTTCTCAGTTCTGATGTCAAACATATCAATCCCATCACCATCAATAATTCGGTATTCTACTTCAGCATTTTTCCCAGTATCAGCATCAGTTGCTTTTACACTTCCAATGGATGTGCCAACTGGGGAGGATTCAAGAACTCGAAGATGGATGGTGTCTGTAAAGATTACAGAAAAGAAGAGAGAGAGAAAGAGATTTCTCCATAGAGTATTCTAAGGTAAAATGTGTATGAGAGAATATTATAAACCTTAAACTCTACATTAGATGTTGACTAATAAGTTGAATACACACAACATGGATAATATAAAGTCTAGGAACAGAAAAAGTGGAAATCTGGGGGATTTGGTCTGTGCCTATTATAAATAGTGAGACCCAATCTCTAATTGTATCAAGAGTTCTGTTTTTAAAAATGAGCATGTTGTCTGTTTTTGCATTTGCACAAGTAACTAGATATCAGCTTTGAGTGCACATATGTACCTGTGTGTGTTTATACAATCACAACAAATCACAGAATATACTGTGAATATTTATATGTTGCAGTGAACATATTTGAAAATTGTTTTTCTTTTGTTGTTTTTAGTTATTTACTACTCAGTTTATTTCAGCTGCAGGGCAGAACATTACAAAATTCCATGAAATCAGCCATAGTGGGGAAGAATCCCACTTCTATTTGTGACAGGAGACACAAAGGATACTCTGTGGGAGAAATACAAAGATGCCCTTCACAGTGTCAGTGTAAAAACACTAAATTCTGACCAATTCCCTTACATTTCAGAGCAAAACAAGAATTTATCTAAGCCCCTGGTACACCTACTCGTGCTTCAGCATGAACAACCTCTCCTGCTAATGAGATTTATATTTTAGTACCTGATCATAAACTACATGCTACTGACAGATTAATCGACCTGAGGGACACTTCTGGTTAGAGCACCTTCTTGCTCATAAACCTTAAGTAATTCTCCTTAATATACATAATAAAGTCCAGACCTCTTAGCTAGTCATGCTCTTGCCTGACTATATCTTTCCTAATGTGTCTTTCTGTTAGCCACTTCCAGGAAAGATCTGCACCAAACTGGACTTTTCAAAGCCTTCTTGTCAAAAATTAATTTCCTATATCTCTATAGTTCACATACTATTTCCCTCACATAAAATTCTTCCCCCCTCCATGAACCTCAAATAACCATAACACAATTTATCAAATATGAGAAAATGGGTCTATTATGTGCTGAGTGTTTAGGGGGCTATGGCCCTCAAAATTCCTATGTTGAACCCCTAACCCCCATTCACTACCTCAAAATATGACTGTACTAGAAGATAACGTCTTTAGAGAGGTAATTAAGGTTAAATGAGAACATTAGGGTGAGCCCTAATCTAACATGACTAGTGTCCTAATTTGGACACAGACAGGCACAGAGGAAAGCCTATGTGAAGACAGGGAGAAGATGGCCATCTACACGCCAATGAGAGGCCTCAGAAGAAACCACCTTGATCTTGGGCTTCCAGCTTCCAGAACTGTGAGAAAAGAAATGTCTATTGTTTAAACCATACAGTATGTGGTACTTTGTTATGGCAACCCTAACAAACTAATACAGGCATCTATATCTGCTCAGTTTGAAAAGTCCTTTTCTAGGAGACATCATTAAGACAGTTTCTACCACATTCTGGTTAGTCTCTTAATGCGTACTTTTTAATTCTTTTTGTACATTTTTTCTCTCTATTAATCTCTGGTAACACATTGTTGAATGCAGCTCTCAATTCATTCCTTAGCTACTATCTTGTTGGCTCTCTTTGCCTTTGCTATTTCTTCTGCTAGAAACAGCTGTTCCTAGATATTCAGATGGCTCATTCACTTTCTTCCTGCAGGTGATTGCTCAACTCTGACCCCTCAGAAGCTTTCACCAATAACCTTACTGAAAACAACTTTATTGAGAAGACCACTCCCAAAAACTCTTCATATCCCTTGTCACTGTTAGGCATTATATTATTTACTTGTTTATTTGTGTGTACCATGAGGATGTTGTATTGATACATGACAGGGAAGACTTTGTATTTTTTCACCTTTATATTCCCATTGTATTTCTTTGAATGTAGCAGCCTCTACATACTTATTCTTTTTTTTTTTTTTTTTTTTTTTTTTTTTTTTTTTTTTTTTTGCGGTACGCTGGCCTCCCACTGCCGTGGCCTCTCCCGCCGTGGAGCACAGGCTCCGGACGCGCAGGCCTAGCGGACACGGCCCACAGACCCAGCCGCTCCGCGGCATGTGGGATCCCCCCAGACCGGGGCACGAACCCGTGTCCCCTGCATCGGCAGGCGGACCCCCAACCACTGCGCCACCAGGGAAGCCTCATACTTATTCTCTCTTTTTTTTTTTTTTTTTTTTTTTTGCGGTACGCGGGCCTCTCACTGCTGTGGCCTCTCCTGTTGCGGAGCACGGGCTCCGGACACGCAGGCTCCGGACGTGCAGGCTCAGCGGCCATGGCTCACTGGCCCAGCCGTTCCGCGGCATGTGGGATCTTCCCGGACCGGGGCACGAACCCTTTTCCCCGTGCATCGGCAGGTGGACTTGCAACCACTGCACCACCAGGGAAGCCCCATACTTATTCTTATATTGGATAACTGAGAAGCTTCCTAACTAGTCTACCAGGTGCTATTCTTGGCCAAATCCACTCAAATCTCAGCTACTCTCAGTACACACTGCATCCATATTATCCCTTCGAAAACAATAATTTAATCAATAATTATTCAGAACTTCAAAACCATTTGATAGCTCTCTTTGTACTTAAAATAAAACATACAGAGGCTGGCCCTCCACAGATTGGATCCTTTTTATTGTCATTCCCTCCCTTAATTAATAGTCTCCATAACACTCCTTTAGGTTTAGGTCTCCTTTAGGTTTTTAAAATATGCTTTTCTTCTTCAATTTAATACACTTTTCTCCCTCATGAAAGATTTTCTACACAATGCGTTGCCTGGCAACCTCTAGCTCTTTCTTTTGATATACATTTATTTTCACTATGCTTCTACCTCAGAACATCATCAACTCTAGCCTACTTACTTCAACAACTTTCTTTTAAATATTAAATGTTAGAGAAGTAGCATCTCAATGAATTGATTTATTACACTGGAGCCGAAGTAGCCTTTCTAAAAGACAGAAATGATTTAACTTCTCTACTGAAAGCACTTTTTATTGATGTTAGAATAAATTCTTAATTTCTTCATTTGGTTTATAATGTCTTATAAAATCCGGGTTTAAAAAAAAAATCTTTAGTACCATGCTTATCTAGTCTCAAACCTAGAGTATATGTGGAATACAGCCAAAAATAAGTTTTTTCAATAAATGATCAGTCAACCAGACTAGAAACATTATAAATACATGGAATACTTAACAAAATAAATGCAAATAATATGGACGTTTCAACTGACATTTATATATATAAAACCTGTATGCACCATCTAGAGAATATAGATTCTTTTCAAGCAGGCATGAAACATTGAACCCAATTTGATCAAGTATTAAGTTATTAGACAAATTTGAATACATTTTAATAAATCAGTATCTACTAAATTCTCTGACCAGGATACAATTAAGATAGAGGTTAAAAGAAAAAAGATAATCCCCCAAATACTCATATTCTTGAAAATTTAGAAGAATTAAGAAAAACTTCTATGCAACTGATGGTTCAAATAAAATACAAATTGGGAGACAAAAAAATTGGAAAAAAAATTAAAAGGAACTCAAATATGTGGTGAAGAGAAAATGATTCTACTTAAAGAAAGTAACTTACAACTTTATGTGCAAAGTCTTCTGGAGAAAAGAAAAATGAGGACTGTTTTCCAACTCATTATGTGAGATCAGTACTGTATGCCCTTGATACCAAAACCAGACAAGAAAAGTCCAGTGGTTATATAGTGTGGGTTAAAACTCAAGCTGTACCATACCTGACTGTATAATATTTAGCAAGTTCATTTTAAATTTTTAATTCATAATCTCCTATATAGTATAAAGTTTAGTATGTGAGAAACACTATTCTAATCACTTTACTATTAACAAAATCCAGACTTTGTTTTAATTTCACCAGCTATTCCATTAAAGTCTTTTCAGAGATCCTACTTTGTATTTAGTTGTCATGCCTATTTATTTTCCTCCAATCTGTGAGAGTTCTTCAGTATTTCCATGCTTCCTATGACCTTGACACCTTTAAAGAATACTGGTCAGTTATTTTATAAATAATCTTTAAAATTAGGTCTGTCTCATATTTTCTCATGATTAGATCGAGGTCATGCATTTCTTTTTTTTTGTCAAGGATATCATAAGAGTGATCTGTTTTCAGTGTAGCATTGGATGCAAATATGTCTTATGACTGTTGATATTAACCTTGATCTCTTGGTTAAGAAGGTGTTTCTGCCAGTCTTTTTCATTTGTTAAGTAAATATTTTTTCTTTATAATTAGTATATATTTTGGGAAATATACTTCAAGATTATGCAAATATCCTATTTTTCCTCAAAAGTCTGCTCATTAATTTTATAATCAATCAATGATCTTCCTTGCAATAATTAATGGTACAATTATTCTAATGCACCATTAATGGTGATCTTCTATTTTCTTTCTAATGGTGCTTCTAATGGTGATCTTCTATTTTCTTCATTATTTCCACATATATTAATTGGAATTCTTCTGTAAGGAAAAGCTGCCCTTTCTCCCTTACTTATTTATTTATATCAGTAAGGACATTTATTTTATTCTATGTGTTATAATCTAATAATATGGCTATTTATTATTTTGTGCAAGTTCTTACAGGCTTGGTCATTGGGTGATCTTCTAGGTTGGTTCTGGTGTCTTTTCAACATGCCTCCATTATTTATTTACTTTTTGGGGGGGGGAAGTACTTCCTTAATTCCCAGCATCACAAAATGTTGTGGGTTCATCTTATATTTTCCCTGCCCAAGCCCTGAAATCAACCATGTCTCCAAGTTGAGCCCTGACTTCTTTTAGTGAAGAAAGAACCATGATTTTTTTAATATAGTGTAGTATTCAAAATTTTAGTAAATGGAGCAACTCGTCTTTCATAACATGCAAATATGTCAAAAAAGGCAAAAGGAAGCTATTTGTATTTGAAATGTAAGCCTAATTATGTTTTTGATATAAAAATTTAAAT